TCTATGCACAATGGAACAAAACACTTGCCTGATTCTGCGGCAACCTCACAATTGTTGTTACAACCACTTTGCCAGTCCATCTTGATGGGGGTCTCCCTCTTTTTCTCCAACCCTTCACTTTACCAAACGTGATATCCTTCTCCAGTGACTGGTCATTCCTGATAGTATGTCCAAAGTGTGGGAGATGCAGTCTGGCCATCCTGGCTTCCAAGGAGCATTCTGGCTGTACTTCTCCCAACACAGATGTGTTTGTTCTTCTGGCAGTCCATGGTACTTTTCATATTCTTCTCCAACACCATAACTCAAATGTATCAATTCTTCTACTGTTTTCCTCATTCACTGTCCAATTTTTACATGCATATGAGGTTACTGAAAATACCATGACTTAAGCCAGGCACACCTTAGCCCTCAAACTAGCATCTTTGGTCTTGAATGCTTTAAAGCAATCTTGTGCCGTAGATTTGCCTAATGCAATACATCGTTTGAGTTCTTGACTGCTGCTTCCATGAGTGTTGATGGTGGATTTGAGCAAAATGAAGTCTTTGCCAACTTCAGCCTTTTGTCCATTTATATGAATTGTGTTTATCGGTCCAGTATTTTTGACATGACACAACCTTTATTTCAAAAAGAGGGATAGATATAATAGTACATAGTCTAATCAAAATATTTAAAAAATAGGTTTGAGTTTGAGAAATATAAGGAAGAACATTTATTTCCCCTTTAAAATTAAAAAATCACAATGGGTTGGAACCTACTGAACGGCACTTAACAACAACAAATCAGTGTTTATGTAACACAGCACCAGCGTCTGACCATAGCAAAGACTTTAGAAACGGACATTGTGTGAAGCAGCGCTGCGCTGAGTAGTTTAGGCAGATCTGTCCCACTGAATGTGGAGATTTAAATGCATCAGGGATCAGATGTGTGGAGCATCTGCCTCTCACATACTTACTTGTTGCTTCCTCTGCTTCGAGGTCTGGAATATCCTATACCCCGGCATCCACTTCTGAGGTGCTCAGCCTGCATGCTTGTCCCTGCTTGGTGTGTTCTGCGCATTCACTCATGCAGTATTTGTTGGGAGCTGCGCTGTAGCCCAGGAGCCCTGGTAGCGCAGTGAGATGCGTGTTGAGCTGCTAAACACAAGGCTCCACAGTGTGAAGCCACCAGTGGCTCCGCGGGAGAAAGATGAGGCTTTGTGCATCTGTAAAGATTTACAGCCTTGGAAACTCTTTAAGGATCACTGTGAGTAAGAACCGACTGTACCCAGGAGCCCTGGTGGCGCGATAGTTAAGCACATTGTAGCTAACCAAAACGTCAATGGTTCTACTGTATCAGCAGCTCTGCAGGGTAAAAGACCCAGCAATCTTTATAGCCTGGGAAACGAGGAGCAGTTCTGCTTTGTTCTGTAAGGCCAGAATTGACTAGACGACACATAACAATTAGGTACCAAGAGCACTGCGAGAACTCAAAGGGAAACTCACTGCCATCGAGACGGTTCTGGCTAAGGTGACCCTCTATAGGGCTCCAAGGCTGCAAATGTATACAGGAGCAGGTAGCCTGATTTTTCTCCCAAGGAGCAACTGGTGGGTTTGAACTGCCAACCTTGCAGTTAGCAACCCAGCGCTTGTCCTCCAGCGCTATCAGGGCTCCTTTAAAAGCTCTGCTAGGTGCGGCTAATTCCTGTGTGTTTTTGTTGTCATGGTGCCTCTGCAGTTCCCCAGGTACCAAGAGCACCTTTGGCAGCATGGCCAGGCTGTCTCCTGTCTCCATCCATTCTGGGCGGAGGACACAGGAAGAGTTGGCGGTGATACTGGGCTGGAAGAGGAGCCTTTTGTTGGTCCTCACTCCCATCCACCAGCTGCAGAAGAGGAGGAGGCATGAGACCAGACCCAAACTAGCCTGCCTCTCATCTGCAGTGTGAACATGGAGGGAGTAGCTTCCATTTTTTAAGGACTCTTGCCACATTGCAGACAGTCAGTCTGAAGGCAAAGCAGTCTTTACAAAGGGAAGGGACGAGGCATGTCTTGAGTGGCGAGGCGGGCCCTGGCAGTCGGGTCGGAGCAGCCTGGCTTTGCAACAACACCAGCACTCAGCAGCAGGGCCCAGAGTAGAAGAGCTCTTCCTTCTGCCGTCATTCTCATTTCTGTTCTTAACAGTAAGCACAGGCTTTCCGTTTTTCCCTTTGCTATTTTATTTGCATTTTCCATTGGAACCATCATCAAACCTTTATATACTAAGTTTCGGATCTTTTGAAAATGATGAATACTGTTTTGCTTACATCCGAATGGTTGTTTATAGAGCCTTTGCAAGCAGCAAGGGAACTTGGAGAGCCAGGACTCTCTTCACCAGACTTGGGGGACTTTACAGGGTGTGCCCACCCAAGGTCACCTGGCTTCTGAGTGGCAATTCAAGGATGGAACCTAGACCTGAACCCAGGACTACTTTCCAAAGAGTGCCACCTTTGGGGACAAAGCCAGTCTCTCTTAAAAGGAATCTTTCTTTTCTTTGTAGCCGTCAATACCAGCAGATATGCAGAGAGCTATCGGATCCAGACCTATGCTGAATATGTGGGGAAAAAACACGAAGAGAAACAAATCAAGAGGAAGTGGACAGACGATAGTTGGAAGGAGGTTGAGAGAAAGCGGTTGAACACTCAATGTATATCGTATGCACTTCAAAATCACTATCACCACCACAACAGGTACGCGTTCTCGGCTGTTGGCTTAAAGGGGCAGAATTTTCTCATTTCTTCTTATACAACTGTGATAGTAAATCTGACCTTTGAGGGAAACTTCTTTCCCTCCAAACTTTTCACATAATTTCAGATAATGTCTGAACTGACTGCTACCTTAATCTCTTGTGTTTTAGAGAACACGATATAGACCACGTTCATAAAACCCCTCAAGGCAGGTGGGATGCTTCTTACTCTTTAACTAGGTGCCATTAAGTCACTTCTAACACACGGCGACCCCACATGTGTCAGAGTAGACCTGTACTCTGGGCCCTTTTGGAAGCACATTGTCAGGTGTGCCTTCTGAGTCACTTCTGGGTGGATTTTAATCACCAGCCTTCCAGTTTGCAGCCACGCACATTCACAGTGCCATTCAGGGACTCCTTGTTCTAATTTTGTTGTTAAGTGTTGTCGAGTCTGTTGTGACTTATAGCAAGCCTGTATAGAGTGTGTGAGAGCGGCTGGTGGCTTTGAACTGCAGTTGTCTTACGGCACCTCACCAGGACACCATGGTGTTCTTGTTGTTGTTAAGCTCCGTAGAGTCAGTTCTGACTCGTAGCAACCCTGTAGAGGGTTTCCAAGAACCATTGGTGGGTTTGAACCACCAAACTTGCAGTTAGCAATCCAGTGTTTCCCCTACAGCCCCACAGCAGTATTAAGAAAAATTAAATAAATAAAGGTCATTGCCATCAAGTCAGTTCCCACTCATAGTGACCCCGTAGGACACATAGAACTGTCCCACAGTGTTTGCAAACCCAAGTTGTAATTCCTTACGGAAACAGACTGCCATTTCATTCCCCCATGGAATGACTGGTGGTGCTGGCGGGCTTGAACCTCAGACCTTCCGACCATCAGTCAAGCACTTAACTGGTGTGCCACTGTTGTTGTTGGTAAGTGCTGTCAAGTTGTGTCCGACTCCTAGTGACGCTGTACGGGGTTTTCAAGGAGCATCTGGTAGGTCAGTTTAAACCGTTGACCTTGTGGTTCAGACTGCCCTTGAGGTTCAGCGCTTTATCCCACAACGCCACATCAGGACTCCAGTGTGTACTAGGGATTCTTAATAGGTAATTTGTTCCGATAAATAACCATTTAAACCAAACCCATTGCCATGAAGTCAGATCCTTTTTTAAAAATTCCATGTTTCCGGCCACAGAGTAGAACTTCCCGTAGGGTGTCCATGACTGTAAGTTGCAGGAGCTTTCTGCACATCTGTGTTTCTCTGGAGCAGCTGGTGGGTTTGAACTGCTGGCTTTTCAGTTAGCAGTGGAGTGCTTAAGCACTGTGCCACCAGGGCTCCAAGTGAGCATGTAGTCTCCATAAATCAGCCTAGATGCTTTTACCAGTCCTGAACAGGAGATGCCATCGCCAGGATAGTAGCAGTGTTCTGCAACTCAAGGAGATGGTTTTCCAAAGCCAGATATTACCCTGATGGACATTTTGGTAAACATGTTTTAATTAAAATCTGCAGTTTGGCGTTATTTCAACAGCTGGGAAAATACCATTTTCTGAAATCTTACTTCTCGCCTTTCCTTTGTGTGCGACTAGGATTTTAGCCTTTCTTGAAAGTTGGGTAGTTCCTGAGAATTCTTATTTATTTAGGAAATACTAAAGAATCTATCGAAACTGTACCTTCAGATTTTACATAACTTTCATGTGAAGTTAGTGGATACTGAGAGTATAGCCATTCCTCACTTAATCAGCACATGACTAGCTTCCAAAGACCAGGTCGTTAGGCAAAAATCGGCATTCTGCACAAATGGAGGGCGGGCGGGGAAGTGTCGTGGCTCAGCCAAGTTGACACACAACCTTCATGAACTACCACAGCCAGCATGACTCGCATCTCACACAGACATTCCAAAGTGCATTGCTAATACCCAAAAGAATCAGTAGAAGATATTTTTTCTTGTCATCAATGCGAGATGTTGGATAAGATAGTTGATAGTGAGGAATAACTGAAAGCATGTATATTACATTAGGAAACGGGGAAAGGGAGCTCTGGAGATAAAAAGGAATTCTGATTAACTGCACCTTCTGCAGGCCGCATTGTTTTGTCTGGTGTTCGCAGTAAATGGGCTCTGAAGCGAGTCCTCACCTGAGGAATAGGCCTTGGAGACCACAAGAGCAGAGCAACATGTTAGACAACTAGAAGGCCTAGGATGTAGCCTATACTCTGCCACCACCTAGCTCCTTGGAAAAGTCTTCATTTACGTTTTCCTCCAGTAAATAGCTAAGATCCACGGTGGCACAGTGGGTTAAGCATTGCGTTGTTGACTGAAAGGTCTGCAGTTCAAACCCATGTGTAGGAGAAAGATAAGGCAGTCTGCTCCTGTAGAGTGATAGTCTCAGAGACCCTCGGGGCCACTTCTCCTCTGCTCCTGTAGGGTGACAGTCTCAGAGACCCTCAGGGCCACTTCTCCTCTGTCCTGTAGGGTCACTGTGAGACCCTCGGGGGCACCTCTCCTCTGTCCTGTAGGGTCACTGTGAGACCCTCGGGGGCACCTCTCTGTCCTGTAGGGTCACTGTGAGACCCTCAGGGGCACTTCTCCTCTGTCCTGTAGGGTCACTGTGAGACCCTC